TAAATCGTTATTTGCCAACTGGAGGAAACAGCAGAAATAGCACAAAGTCTTCAGACATGATGAGACATGCTTAAAGGCTTTAAGAAGTGCCTCTGTGCTCACAGATATGTAATTTTAGCAAGTGAGAAGTTTAACAGAAAGAATCAGGAAAGGAAAAAGACATGAGGGCTTCAGATTTGGAAATTTTGTCTTAGGTCCCTCAGATTGTTCAGCGCCTGTGAGAGCCGTGGGCTCAGCAGGGTCCTTGCAGAGGCTTCAAGCTGCAGGGGACAGGCTCAGTGCTGGGAAAGCAAAGGGAGGAGGCAGTGCCGAGTGACACGAGCTTCCTCGGGCCAGTCTCCATACAAGCGTAACCATTTCCTCTCTGAACAGGGTGGGAGAAGGGTGGTGTTTGATGGTGGATTTTTTTTCCTCCCTCGTCTTCTCCCATAATGTACAACAGGCACAATTCATCACCCAATTACTCATTTCATCTAGACAGGCCTCCTTTTCCAGACTGTAGGGTCTGGACCATTACCCTCCTGCTTTATCGCCTCCCCCGCAGGACAGCAGCCTTCCTGCCCTGTACCTGAGCTAATGCAGCAAGGCTAGGTTTTCTTGACTCTTGGAACATGGTAAATGCACATAGGATCTAAAGATCCTGAACCCTCACCTGATAACCTCTAGCAATGAAGTGCATAGGGAGCTTTCTTTTTCCAGATGAACACCTTTAGTGCATGACCATTGCTTTTCTGGGAAGAGAGCCCTAGGTCACATCTCTTGCAATTAACTGCTCTTTACACAAAAGATGGTCAGAAAAATCTGGTTCATTCTTGTTGTTTCACTAGCAGACCACCAGGTCTATTAGTATATAGTACCTATTTTCATGTATTTGTATTTATATAGACATGGATATACAAATAGGTGATGGGCATGTTTTGGACACGCATCATAAGCGACAGCATCATTACAAGAAGGCTTAATTTATTATCAATTACACTAGCTAGAAGACTAGCTGTCTTCTGTTAGCTTTATTCATTGTCAGAAGTACCTGTTCATAAACTACATCTTAATTTTGATAGCAGGCAAACACTATATGATAGACCATCTCCTTCAGTATAAACCAGCCAACTATGAAAGCCACCTGAATGCAGCATTATTGGACAGGTCCTGTAGTAGTTAACCTTTCTAAACAGTCCCTCAGATGAATAAAGATGAGACATACTGCACAGTTTAATTAGTTTATTTTTCAAAATCCTGTCAGAAATATAGCTGTGCATTAATTGCAAAATATATTAAACAATCTATTGATACTTCCCCGAGAACAGAAGCACTCCCATTCTGTCCAAATGCAACCAACATAAACCTTTAACAGTGATCTCGAAATAATTTTCAGCATCAGCCATCATTACATTTGAGGAGAAAGTGTCTCTAAATAAGACCAGAAAAGCCATTCTAATTTTATTTCATTAGCAAGTTTAACCCCTTGATAGCAAACATGACCAGGCATATCATGAGACCACCTAAAAACAAGTCAATACATCTTATGCACCTGAACTCCAACATACACATGACATATCAACATTTTAGTAAAATAGTTTGCCCTGCCCTGCAGGGGGAGACATTCAGAGGCAAAAAGAAAACACATCTGCAATATATTAGACTTGGAAAATTTGTGCCATAGCAGCTTTGCAAATACATATACTAAGAGTGTCTGACTTTAGATAAGTTCAAGACAATAGAAATTTGAACGATAGCAAAGATAAGGTGAAGATAAGTCACCTTCTGAAACACCTTGAGATCCAATAACGCAGCAGAGCATAAACAGTTACAGAGCCCAAGTACTCCATTTCTGAAACAAGAAACTGGTTCAATCCCCATATTACTCTGGATTTGCTTTAGAGACAGTTCTTAAGGCTGCATACCCTTCTGCTTCCATTCAAGTATTTCTTGTTTATACCACAATCCACTAGATGTATTCCTAAAAAAAGCAATCAAGTTTGAGGAAGAGAGGGAAAAAAGTTATAAACAAACAAACCAACAAAGCTGTTTCGGTGAAAGTACATTTTCACACAGGAACTGAACCTTTTAGTTCCAGCCTTAGAAGTTGGGAGCCAGCAGGACTGCATCTGAGATGGTAACCACCTAGACTCACAAGTTCTTCTGTTAGCTGGAAATGATATTTGCAAGAGAGTGCTCTGGAACCGCAGTTAAAACAGAGTAGTCTGAAAGGTGGGGGAAAAAGAGAAAAGTCAAACAACAAGATGAATAAACATTTGCAATTTATCAAAACAAAAGCGTTTTAACTGATATTTAGCAAATCAGCTATGAAAGTTTTTCATATAAAACTCTCACATAGTAATGTGGCATTGGTCAGAGTTTTTCCTGGTAATGTTAAGATACAAAACCAGTAAAGTAGCAGCAGTGACTATAGCATTCATGTTACTGTGGTCAATACAGTTATTACACATGCATTAGTTTTCTGTGTCCTGTTGGGTTGTGCTACTGTACAATATTAAGCTGAATCACTTAAACCCCTGAACCAGCCACCAAACTGAGCTTCCAGCAGAACCAACATAGCGCTCAAATCAAAAACGCAGCTTCTTGTACTTGAACGTTCGTGAGCAAAACTTCAAGAGGAAAGTATTAACACACTTAGTGGAACTTGGTTATAACCCTTAGGGGACAGACTAAGAGCATTTTTGTTAGTATCACTGAGGCTGAGAAAGAGCTGAGTCTGGAAGAAGCTCCTAAACTACAAAACTTCCTACCATTCTCCTGAAAAAAACAAACAAATCAAAAAACAGAGAACTACCATCCTGAAAAAAGAGATCAGAGAACTCAGGTACAGTGTCAAGAACTGCCTTCTGTCTTTACCCCACCTGGACACAGTTACATACATTAGAAGCCCGTGGTTAAGAACAGCTTGAACACCTAGGAATGCCACAACTGAAGACACTCTCAAACAATTCAGCTAACAGGTAGAGGCTATTTCATGTAGCAAACAAAAGACATCTTTTAAAAGACATGTAATTTTAAAGCATGATCTTTTTGTATTTTGAGTAATCTACCCTTCACCTGTCCTCCAAATGCACAGAATTAGTCTAAATAAAGCTGATTAAATATGTCAGTGAGACTGCCTGCATTTACCATTAGCCAAGAAGTTCAGGCTTCAGCAGCTGCAATACTCCATTGATTATAATCCCTCTTCAATTAATAGGCTCCATCTGCAAAATAAACTTTATTCAAACTAATTAAAAAAAAATATGTTGCATCCTGGGATTTTTGATCTCATGCAGGTAAGCAGAGAACTGCCCCCCAAATCAATATACTATAGTGCTCTTTAATTTGCTTTCTGTGTTTGTAAGTACATATTAAGTATGCACTTTCCTGACTGATGAGGCTTTCTGGATTGCTTATGTGAGGGTAAGTACCAGATGCTTTTTCAGTATCTTTTCCATTGCCATGTCTTAAGTCTTTAGGTCGCTTCACTAGTTTGGAGAAATAACACAAAATATATACTAATATATGGCTTAGTTCTTCTGTATCTGCCTGTGTACTTACATTCTGGTATGAACAATTCTTCCCTCCCTCTCCCCCTTTTCAAAGGCAAAATTCAGAACTTAGCACCACGGTATTTTAAAAACTTATGTTAGCACCAGGGAACTCAAACTACTCTGCTTTGACTGGTCAAAGTAAATTTATATAGCATATAAACATGCAGTATAGAAAACAGTAATATATGCAATTTTAGGAAGCTCATAAATTCTTTAAATAGCAAATCTAGTGTTTGGTAAACAGGCCAGTATGGAAGCCAGATTTTTATTCTGGAGAAGAAACAGGGTTGCTGTCTTTTCCTCGCACTAATTGGAAGGCTTCCCTACCCCTCCAAAACGTTGAGGGTGGTGGCCCAGCTCCCATTATCGAGCGCGACAGGGAGACACCATGGCTCCTAGGTGCCGATACGCCCAGCTGGCCCCTGAGAAATAGCAGGAGACCTCCGTGTGGCCCCAGGACACCGTGGAATCACGTGAATGAATGCAATTTTAGGTCACAAGTTCAACTTTGGTGCAAATTTAGGTTTGACCAACGGTACAAAAAAAAAATCTGGAATCTCTTATCTAGGAAGTACATACAGTACCTTTGGTGGTGCATCCACTCATAACCTGAAAAAACATCCTGCAGCAGGGGACGGGGGGAGGTCCTACCAGGACAGCAGTGTCCTGTTCTAATGCTACACGGCCTCTTGACACAGCTGGCCTGGAATACACACTTACATAAAGACCGCTCAAATGACGAGGATTTGGGGATACTTTCAGGCCACCTTTCACACATTTCTTCAGTGAACTCAGCTCAGAGTCACTTAGCTTCCTGCATAACATGACCACGGGTCTTTCACAAATGCTAGTACCAGCTCTACATCAACATGCAGCTCCCTGAAGCTAACTTGACAGGAGGGAAGCATCTCCTCTCACAGCACGTCTCGCTTTAGGTGAGGTCAACAAAGCCTTACCCTGACCTAGGATTTCACGCAAAGCACAGCCAATTCTGAGCTCCTGATGAGTCAGCATAGAAATCATCTCAAACCCAAGGCGAATCTTCCCTGAGATCAGTAAAACAAAACAACCCCCCACAATCCTCAGCATTACTAATTTAAATATTTCCCTGCTACAGCATAAGTACATATGTTCCAAGGCACAAAGGTCTTTTCTGATGTGACTTAGCCTCACCAAGCAGAGATGTCCAGGTACTTCCATAGGATTCTTCTGTGGGCAATTAACCTTTGATTACTGACAACATTTCATTAGCTTGCCACACATGTAGCTGTGTACATTACAAAGAATGATAAGTAATGTTTAAACACATGACCCCCAGATAAAAAATCTGTACCAGAGACATCAAGTTCTGTTCAGGTGAAGATCAACCATGTTAGCTTGCAGAAGGACACTGATTCACACACAGAGTCTTAAGATCTTTGCACGACGAGTCTACATAAACAGGGAAGGATGCTCATAATCTGTGCCTGAACATGGTGAGCGGCTCCATTCCTCCATTTAAGGCTTTAAGGTTAGGCAGCCCCATCAGTACTGCGAGCTTGAAACCCCTCTCTGCGGAGACTGTTAAAGTCCAGCCGCGTTAGGACCTCGCAGCGCACCAGGAGGGTATCATCCTTCACAAAGGTTCTCTGCTTCAGGGTTTGCAGGTGCATGAAAGTCACATAACCAAAACCTTTTGGATTGCGGTGAATTGTTGGTCTCTGGAAGGCCAGCAACTCTGGCTTGGCTTCCATGACTTCCTCGTGATTTTGCCTCTCGGGTCCTTCTGACTGATCCAAAATAGAAAGCCGTATCGTGCCTTGGAAAGGCCAGGGTAGGTGGCTGTCATATTCTCCTTGCATAGTGTGGACAAACAGAGATATAAAGTTAGCGCAGCGCTGAGCACTCGGTAACTGGATGTGTAGGCGCAAGCACAGCTTGTAGCCAGGTTTTCCAGTATAGAAGCCAGGACTGTGCATCACAACAGGTCGCTCTTCTTCCTGGGCTTTCTGAAGTCCACTGAAGTTCTCAATCTTCCAGATATAAATACCGTTACACTGTTGTGCCTCCATTTCAGTAATTTTCCCCTCCAGATTTCGGATGGTGCGTTTGAGCTCCGCCACGTGAGTATTCTGAGTCTCCATTTTAGCGATCAGCTCTCTGATTTGGTGATCTTGCCTCACCAGGCGACCTTCCAGCTGCTGAATAGTTTCTTTGAAGTTTTCGACTTCTGGGTTGCAATTGTATGGGGCGTGAGAGACATGGGAGAAGACAGTAGGCTCAAAGGGGAGGCCATTGATAAAGGGTATGGGATTTGCAGCCGTAGCGCTGATGTTTTGAAAACTTTGAGCCATCATTCTCATGTGAACCTGTGTGAACTCTTGCATGTGTCGCGCCTGTTCATTCCTCTGCATCTGCGATTTAACATGAGGCACAGCATTAGGAACACAGGGACTTTATCTGCAATCACAACTTAAAAAGGGCTCTGGGGAAAACTAAATTGCTGTTTGCTTTCACATCCTTATGGGAGAAGAAACGGGTTGTCAATCAAGTACAGCAATATGACAGAGAAGCATTTTAGTAAGAGAAGAAGCCAAATCACCACAGGAAACAAACTGAGAAACGTAAGAGGTGCAAGTTAAAATAGACAAATATTTCTCAATTCAAAAGAGCGGCAGAGGGAAAAAGTATTAGGAATCCTCCCATGCTAAACATGTATTTGGTAATTTTCAGTGCTCTAAATCAGCTTTGCATTCTCTTCCCTGAGCTGCTGCAGTGACTTCTAACTCCCAAATGCAATAACAAATAAGAGAGCTGTGGGGAAAACAATGAATAAAAAAATGCATTCTTAGAAAGAGTGCACAACCATTCCTGTATGAAGGGAAAGGAAGGAAAAAAAGGAAAGTAAGCGTGCAGTTTACTCAAATTAGAGCATTCTCAGGTTTCCTTTGCTGCCTGCTATGTGTCTTTGGTCACAGCAAGAAATGAAAAAGACTATTGGAAAAGAAAAGAAAGGGGAGGACAAACAGACAGATTACAACCCAAACATAAAATTGGCCACAGAGATAGCGGTTAAATTTGAACAGCGCTTTTGGAAAGACCAATACCAGGTGAACAATGAGCATCTTAAAATAATAAAAAGTATGTGTGTCTGCCCTTTTTTTAGCTTACATTTTATATTTTATTTTATTTTTTATTTATTTTTCTAGTAATCCAAAAGAAACTGAAAAACTCAAGGCCCACATCAGCGGGTACCCTGACAGTTCCTATCATCAGCCAAAACTTACAGAAATAAGAAAAAGAAGAACAAAAATGCAAAAATATGCCCCAATGGGGAAAGACAGGTACCTACCTTCTCTGGGCACCCAAAGGCACTGTAGAAACAGGGTATAGGTGCTGTAGGGCAGTCGTTGGCATAGTGGTTGGGCATCTACAAGACAGCAGAGCGCACGTCACTGTGGCTCCCGTCAAGCACCACTCTAACTCCACACATAAATAGCGCATGAACAGATATCACAAAGAGTGAGCCACGCTCCTACGGGCTGCTCTTGAACAATGTGCACCACCGGTAAAATCCTATAAAGGAGGCACGTGCTCCGCGCGCCTCCGCTCCTATAAGGCGCGTGAATCCCTGGCGAAGCGCCCGAGCGCTCTGCGTGCTTCCGCCCCTATAAGGCTCGCGTAACCCTGGCAAAGCGCCCGTGCACGCTCCTCACATCTCCGCTCCTATCAGGCGCGTGTAACCCTGGCGAAGCGCCCGCGCACGCTCCGCGCGCTTCCGCTCCTATCAGGCGTGCGCATCCCTAGCGAAGCTCCTGCGCGCCCATCCCTGGCGAAGCGCCTGCGCGCTCTGCGCGCCTCTGCTCCTATAAGGCACGCGCATCCCTGGCGAAGCGCCCACGCGCCTCCGCTCCTATAAGGCGCGTGCCCCCCATGCTGTGCGCTGCATGCGCCTCCGCTCCTATAAGGCACACATGCTCCGCGCGCGTCCGCTCCTATAAGGCGCACACATCCCTAGCGAAGTGCCCACGTGTGCTCCACGCGAGGCGCCCACGCCCCTTTGAAGCGCCCGCAGCCCTGCGAAGCATGCGCGCGCTATGCGCACCTCTACTCCTACAAAGCACGCCCCTCCGGTCCTATAAGGTGCACGTGCTCTGCGTGCCTCCATTCCTTTAAGGTGTGCAACCCACCCGAAGCACCGGCGCACGCTTCACGCCCCTCCGCTCCTACGAGGCACGCACGCTCCTGAAAAGTGTGCACACTTCGCCCACCTCCGCTCCTACATGGCGTGTGTGCCCCTGTGAAGCACGCACGCAGTATGTGCCTCTCCACTCCTATAGCACGCGCCCCTCCGCTCCTATAAGGCACACGCACCCCACCGAAGTGCCCACGCGCCCCTGCGCTGTCCCCTGTGAAGCACCCACGTGCGCTCCGCACGCCTCCGCTCCTTTAAGGTGCACGTGGCCCTGTGAAGCACTCCGTGCTCCCCTGCTCCTCTGCGCGACTCCGCTCCTATAAAGTGCGCCCCTCTGCCCCTATAAAGCGCACGTGCTCCTGTTAAGTGTTCCGTGCATCTCCCCTTCTATAAGGAACAGGCACACGCTTCTATAAAGTGCGCGCTCCGTGTAAGGAGGACGCACTCCACCCATGCCCCCTCCTGTGAAGCATGTGTGAGCCCCCGTGCGCCCCACAGTCCCTGCCCCTATAAAGCACACGCCACCGCTCCTGTAAAGCCCGTGCTCCTATAGAGCGCACGGGGTCCTTGCACCCCTGCTGCTATGAAGCACACACCCTCAATCCTATCAAGTGGGCACACGCTGCATTCACCCTGGCTCCTATAAAGCGCGCGCCCCCACTCCCATCAAGTGCGCCCGCGCTCCCATCAAGCACACCCCTGCTCCCATCAAGCGCACGCTTGCTCTGCGTGCCTCCGCTCCCACAAAGGATGTGCGCCCGCCACACACCTCCGCTTCTATAGGGCCCACAGGTGCTCTCCACGCCTCCACTTCTATAACGCGTGTGCTCCCCTGCTATAAACCATGCTCTGCTCCTATAAAGCCGTACGCTCCACTCTTACACAGCTCCATGCACGTTTCACACACTCCATTCGGATACGTGTCCACGCGCAGCTCCGCTCTTGGGTAGTGCCCCGCACGCCCCGCTCCAGACAGAAGGCCAGTCTTACCTGCTCCCTGATGAGGACTGTATTGCAGTATTCACAGAACACATTGGCTAGCGGACACGTTTGGTCGTGCAGCTACATTATGATAGGGAGAATAAAAAAGGAAATGCAGAGTTAACCATGTCACACACATTTAACAATGAAAGGGTGATCATCTTTGCTAGCATTTTCCCTGTTTAGTAACCATTTCATATGGTCAACTTTGCTATATTTGCCAGCAGGAAGAGTCTTTTCTCAGTACCTCTTTATCCTCGTAAGCAAGGGACGTGGCACAGTTTGGACAGCAGACCTGACGTCTCGGGCACTCCTGCGTCATGTGCTCTTTGACATGGTTCTTCTGGAAGGATCCTTGGCACTGCGGGCACTCCATGGTGGAGAAGTCACACTGCAGCTGGTGCTCCTGAACAGGGCAAAAGGAGGATTTGATATTACAGAAAGGTGCCACCTCCCAGCTGTCCCAGTGCCATAGGAACAGTCTATGGCTCCTGCCTCCGTGCCAGCCAACACCTACATCCCTGCAGTGACTTAGCTCTGACAGCTGCTCACAGCCCCCCTGCTCAGGTGGGAACCTTCCCCACTCAGAGCTTTAACTGGGCCCTCTAGCAAACTGAGCTGCACCCTTAGCCGTACAGCAGTGTATTCTTTTTTTCCCAAACCAAGGAACTATTTCCATTTCATCAAAACTATCTGACTGCTGTGCGGAAATACTAAACTGACTTCATGCAACTTGTACGCCAATAAAGTTCACCCAAAGGCAAACAAGGATTATCCTAAAGACCAAGATGTATTAATATAATTTTTCATGCACAATGTTGTTCACTTGTGAATGATCTAACTACAGTTATACTAAAAACAAACGGTTCGGCTTGAACAAACAATACATTGAATGAGCATAAACAGACATCAGGTACAACCACTTATTTCAAGTTAATTTGAATTTTTACTTTCCCAAAGTTCCATATTTTCAAAATTCATTCTCACCTCTAAATGCCTCAATTCCATCTTCATACAGCAGCCCTTGTTGGGACACCTCACCGTTAACGAGAGGATTTCTCGTTTAGCAAAGTTGTCAGGAAATAGCTGATTTTCAAGCAGAATTTCATTGTCTACTGGACATTTGTGACCAGCATCCCTACAATGTAGAAAAGAAAAAGATGGAGACAATGAAAAAAGATTCCAAATTTCCTGTACTATACAAAGCAAACTGGAGAAACTGCCAACACACAAGTTCCACTTGAGGTGGCACTAAGTGATTGCAGCATTTTTCCAATACAGCAGTTTGTAACTAGAGAAGTGCTCTGCTGGATGCTCTGCAAATAAAGCAGAGGAGGATACAGAGAGTCTGAGGAGCTAGGGTCCCACTCCTGTAAATGCTTCACACAGCTCTAACATCAAAGAAACTCTCAGTTATAGATCTTTGAACCTTTACTCCTTTCTGTTGCACTTCTTAGGTGTATTACTTTCTTACAATGGCCAAGCTGCTCCCGAGTTGGTCCTCACAGCAACCTATTTCTGCACCACAACAAGAATTACAGGGAAGGTGACGTTAAGCAGTGGCACTGCATATGGGAGCAGGTGTAGTATCTCTTGTCATCTTAAGAAGTGGCCTGAGATGTAAATACAGAGGTGCACCACGCCTGGGGAGCGATGGGGAGGCGGAGGGGCACAAAGCTGCGCGGGAAAGAGCTCATTTCTGAAAGCAACAACACACACAACTAAATAATACAGTTAAGGTACACAAGGGCTCAAAGTCTGAGCTACAGTACTAATGGAAAATAGCAATAATACAGACAAATACATAGGGTGGAAAAAAAAAGTCTGAGAGCACTTGTGGCAAATAGATCAAAGGCCAGGAAGGAATCTGTGATCTCTGTGGGATAAGGAAAGAGCTGGTCAGCAACTACTTTATCAGCAACGCAGCAAGAGGAAGTGGGGGGAAAACACAAGACATCTCAGAAAGAGACAAGGAGCTTCCTTCCCAGGGCCTTGTGCTTAACAGCTACTTTGCCACAAGCCAGAAAGTTGTTCTCCTAAAGACATGGAAAAGATAAAAGGCTGGCACTCCATTTCATCTCACAGCCGCCTTGGCAGCGTGCTCGTCCATGCCACAACCCCCACACCTTCCCCTAGGGCACTGCCAAACTACAGGCAACCAGACTCACTGCGTTCTGCATGTGACAAGATCTGAGCTTAACAAGCTCTTTTGGCAATTGAAGGCTTCTCAAAGAGAGGGAAAAAAAAAAAAAGAATAAAAAGAAAAAAAAAAGCTTCCCAGCTACAGGCACAACTTCCTCTGCATGGACAATTACAGTCAACACAATCACACAGCTGAAGAGCTACTCAGCAATTCCTTGCCCACCCTGTTAAACAGTTAAATTCCTCAGTCCTGGTTGGGAAATGGGGAAGAAAAACAGGCATTTTTTGTCTTGATCAACAAAAGGTTGTGACAATCTCTTAATAAACAAATAATATTTAATGTAAAAAAAAAATCATTCTCTGTTCTCATTTTATTTTGGCACAAGCTTCTCAATGACATCAATCAATATTGTACTATAGACACTACACGACCCAAATCAACGGCACTGCCAAATTAAGCATCCAGTGGAGCCACTGCACTTAGAACTGAGTCTGGCACTTGAAGCACTCTGCTCTTCTTTCACACGCATCTCAAACTTGACTTCAGGGGGGAATTGAGGCAATATATTTGCTATTAAACATCTGAAATATCTACCTACAGTCTCCAAGATGAGGGAAAAAAATTGCCACCTGGCTCAGTGTTCACCGAAACGGTTAATACTATCCATAGAAGGAAGTGAAGTAAAAGGAGGAAAGGGTGTAACCCAAGCAGGAGCTTCTGGTTATTAGCACTGCTTGTAGATCTGCAAGCACTCCACTCATGTAAAAGGGAAGCAAAACCATTTCCCATATCTGAGGCTTAAGGAGGAAGCTTTTCTACCTGCTATGAGGTATGTTAGGTTCTCAGCACAAACTTGTCACCTTAGTATGAAGGTTTTGAATGGCTGCAAACAAGGGCCCCTTTGTGGGTAGCCTTAAGTTCCTTTTAAAGCCAGGAACGTGGTCGTCCTTGAAGCGACTGGTAACTAGACATTCCTAGTGCTCAGCAGAGTTGAGCACTAATTTACCTTCAGGATTTGTAGACATCACACTCTCAGGGGAAGAATCAAGCTAAAGAAGGAGATAAAAATTATTGTTGCCAGGAAATGCTGCAAGCTCAGAGGTAATGAGGGGCTTGCAAATTTAATGGCCTTCATTAATACAAAAACCTACTTGTGAGCTTACAAGCACATAATATTCTGTCCACTATCACCTTGAGAATTTAGGCTGGAATATACAGAACAAAGGCTAAAAAGTGAAGTCTTAGTTTAAGCTGCTTGTGCATTATCAGGTGGATACGCACCCATAGATGACTTTAGGTTTTTTTTATATATATACACACACACACACATGGCATAGGTTTACTATTGCTTTTGTATACCCCATCTTCACGCTAAGCTGACTTGCGATTCCTTAAGCACTAAGCACTGCACTTGGGCAAGGTCTGGCTTATTTGTCGCAGGTGCAGCAGTGTCATGAGTGAGGCAGGGAGAAGGGTGCTCTCACAGCTCTCACAGTAGCAGAGCACTGAGCACATCTCAGCTTCCTCAGCTGATCCATGGGCGCTTTTGCACAGGCAGAACATTCTGCATTTTCTAGATAACCAACCTGCACCCCTTTTCTCAAAAGTATGTATTAAATTGATGTCAACAAGAACTGTGCTTGCAAACAATTGCAGTAAAGTTTGGCATTTCCCAGAAAGGAAAATTACCCGCTGTTTTGCTATCATAAGTAAGGAACATAAAATTAAGTTCATGTTTCTGTAACCAGCTCTAACACTTTCCCTTCTTGGACTGCCAGGAAGAAACATTATCAGCATCAGATAGAACAATGACGGAAGCTACAAAGAAGCCCAGAAACCCAGAAAATATTTCATTCAAAAAACACATTTGTTGGCATGCAAGTAATTTACATACACTGTAAATGCTGACCTATGCATAAATGGAAACTGAACAGGACTACAGATGAATGAAAAACCAATCACAGAATCATAGAATGCTTAAGGTTGGAAGGGACCTCTAGAGATCATCTAGTCCAACCCCCTGCACACGCAGGGTCACCTAGAGCACGTGGCACAGGACTGCATCCAAGTTTTGAAGATCTCCAGAGAAGGAGACTCCACAACCTCTCTG